AGAATTATATATAAATATTTGAATCGAGCAATGTACTTCCGCAAACAAGAAGAACAAGGCCAGTTGGGGATAAAATGTTTATAAAGCAATAACACGCCATCTATATATAATAAATGAAAGCATTTAAAGCACGAAGGTTTCTTTTTCAACTAAAACAAACCTCTCTTTCTCTACTGTCCATACTGCGATGAAAAATACTTGGCTCATCATTCCTATCATTGTCGCATAACGTTTAGCTTCATAAATGGAAAATGTTACAAAAGTGAAACAGAGATATCAGGTTGATAAAATAGGAAAAGGCATCTCCTGATTGTATAAATTAAAATTTCTGGTGGCTTGCGCCATCTGTCGGAATAAATATCAACTAAGCGTTGAATTTAATATCCTGAAACGTGTACGTGGTTGGCTTTTCTTGATTAACCAACAATGTGTATTTCGCTCTCTTATATTCCGATATAATTAAAAATCAAAGATTTTTTATATTTATTCCGATCGATGGCGTAAGCCATCAATAACTACCAGTTGCACAATCAGTAAACTGTTAGTTTTTCATAAATTTATGCATAAATCCTATCCTTCAATTGCTGTTAAACACTGCATTGTTGCGTTTACGTGCGTCATTACTTTAACATATACCGCTTTACCAACATAATCTCTCGAGCTGTATGATCTTCCTCAATTTGTGTAAGATGTCATAAGAACGCTATTTACTTTTAAAACTTTAAATTATCAGTAAATCCTCAAATAAAGAAGCGTTGCTGCATACGTAAACTCAGTACAATCCATGACGTCGAAAGAGATTAACAAAGAGACGCTAACCAAAGCTTTTAAATATGAAACAGATTGATTCCCTTATACATCTCATGCATATATTTCTCCTTGTTACTCTATGTACAAGTGTGTACTATGTGTACAAATGTGTGTACTATGTCTACTCTTTGTACTATTATACAAATCTATAACGTTTATTAAAATTAGATAGCTTTTAAACCTACACTGATGGACAAAACTTAATAAAGCTGTATCTTTTAGTATGTATATCAGGATTCAGACAATAATTCTGAAAGATATCACAGTGATCTTTATTGAAGACACACGAGATAACTAATTGTGAACAGAATTGTCTCAGTCTCCTTCAAAAAGACAGATGACCAGCGACATCCAAGACTTTCCACTTAAATTTTGTCCATGAGAGTAGTGTATATTTTATTTCATGTTTGACTAATATTACTGCCCATAAGTCCTCCTCTACGTCCATCGGGAGAAGCAGCACAATTAGGTAAAGGACTGCCCTGTAGTACGGTGTCGTGAGCCGCTACGGTAACCGTGAACAGGGAACTCTGAAATGTGGCTGACTAACGGAGCAATTGCACCCTCCCCTTTCCATGAAGGGATAAGACACTACGACCAATAAAAAAATGCAGGTTGTCATACAAATCTGAAATGGCGTACAAGTAAATACACATACTTGTAGGTCAATAGACCTCACAGCTTCCTAATTGGCAGACGAAGTAGTGTGTAGTAAACAAGAGTTTCTTTTGTATTCAAAATGGCAAGTTTTCACGCGGCCGCGCATCATCAGACTAATGGGTCCACGAAGGCATACGGCCGTGTGAAAGCTTGCCCTTTTTACATAAAAAAAAATGAACTCTCTGCTTATATTTTCTTTTGTTTATTTGTAGATAGATTTCATCTATGAGATATTGTTTAAAATTCGATACTTTAGATTCCTGTAGTGATACAGCGTCCAGTAGAACTTCACCATTCTCTTAGCTCCTATCATTACAATCAATATTGTCTACAGTTACAGTAGAACTACCTCCCTGTAAAAGACAACACCTAATTGCATAACCAAAGTGTCCTTTGGAGAGAGGTGTCCTCTCTCCAGAGAGTTGCTAAATAGTAAAAATTGTAATTTTGCAAATAAAAACTGTCCTTTATAGAGAGGTGTCCTCTAGCGCGAGTGTCCTCTCAGGGAGGTTGTCCTACTGTATTTGTAGATTGTGTCTCTTTCCTTTCATTTAGTATAGTACGAAAGGCAGCCATCGCTTTTTGGAGTGTAGTTCTAATCAGGGGAAGAATTACTTAAGAATAGGTTAAGAGATGTATATTCATTATTACAGGATTGCGAATTCCGACAAATTACAAGAAATCATAAGACGCTGCAACTCTTTTTATCTATGTACTTGATTGAAGGGGAGAAAAAAGGAGAGACGGTTTGTACTCCCCTTGACAAGGAAGGAATGGTCTTCGGACCCAACACATATACGGTTATACTTGATTAAAGGAAGCTTTGGGGCAAGTTCAGTTAACTAATAGGTATTTTTAGTTTAGCTAACTAAAGGAAAGCTTACCCAAAAGCTTCCTTTAATCAAGTAGATTAGAAGAGTTACGGCGTGTGACTTATGATTTTTTATAATAGGTTAAGAAATGTGTCTCACCTTTAGAAAGGTCCTTTGCCAAGAACGCTCCAGAAAATCCTGCAAACACAAAACAAGACTTGTCGAGAAGGGTTCAGATATGATGGTGACATTTATATAACAACACATATACCTTCACAGATTTATTAGCCACGTGAGGGCGACCCACTGTCGCCTTTTCAGGATGGAAGCTTAACACAAAGTTGACATTTGTCGATCGATTTTGTGATAAGTTTTCCATCTTGAAAATGAAGCAACTGTGGACAGCAGACACGTCACACACATATATAATTAGATAATAAAAAGGCATTTATTGGATTGAATAAAATATTTATTTGATAATATTTCGGCTGGCTGAACGCCAACCTTTATCAAAGCATTACATTTTTGTATAAACAAACCCAGCGCCGCATAGTGTTATAATATCACAGTTGAAATAATTTCCCCCACCTACTTTGTATTTTAAAAAGTTATTTCAACTGTGATATTACAACACAATGCGGAGCTGAGTTTGTTTATACAAAAGTGTAATGACTTGATAAAGGTTGGCGTTCAGCCAACCGAAATATTGGCAAATAAATCTTATATTCAATCCAATATATGCCTTTTTATTATCTAAGTGTATGCGACCCAGGGTACAAGCTTAACACGAAGTTGACTTTTTTCGATCAATTTTGTGACAAGTTTTCTATCTTGAAAAGGGGCAACAGTTCCAACACGTCATATAATACACTTTTTGATGATTCTCATTGATCCTAAACATCCAACCTAGAAGAATATTTGTATAATCTCTATATTTGTGACATTGTAGGAAGGTGTAAAATTTATTGTATTAGTGAATACTACTTCATGCTGTACAGTAGAACCTCTTTGTAAAGGACAACATATAGTTGCATAGCAAAAGTGTCCTTTATAGAGTGGTGTACTCTTTTACAGGATAGTTGTTAAATAGTGAAAATAGTAAATTTGGCGTTGAAAACTGTCCTTTGTTGAGAGGTGTCCTCTAGCGAGAGTGTCCTCTCATAGAGGTTCTACTGTAATTTGTTTATATATACAGTATATACAGTTCTTTAAACTACAATGTACAACTCTCAATAGCTGGCGTAGTCTCCTTGACTTTAGGTCTGTAATTAAAATTACATACATATCAACGAGGATGTTATATAGCCAGCTAGACTCTATGCCTGTACATCCAGTTATAAACGGATATATATGTTTTAGCTTTCTAGACTCAAGGTCTGTACGTTAATTTACGAACAGATGTTCTAGCCTGCTAGACCCAAGGTCTGTTCGTTAATTTACGAACAGATGTTCTAGCCTGCTAGACTCTATGTCTGTACGTTAATTTACGAACAGATTTTCTAGCCTGCTAGACTCTATGTCTGTACGTTAATTTACGAACAGATGTTCTAGCCTGCTAAACTCTATGTCTGTACGTTAATTTACGAACAGATGTTCTAGCCTGCTAGACTCTATGTCTGTACGTTAATTTACGAACAGATGTTCTAGCCTGCTAGACTCAAGGTCTGTACGTTAATTTACGAACAGATCTTCTAGCTTGCTAGACTCAAGGTCTGTACGTTAATTTACGAACAGATGTTCTAGCTTTCTAGACTCAAGGTCTGTACGTTAATTTACGAACAGATCTTCTAGCTTGCTAGACTCAAGGTCTGTACGTTAATTTACGAACAGATCTTCTAGCTTTCTAGACTCAAGGTCTGTATGACCAATTACTAACAGATATATATGGTCTAGCTTTCTAGACTCAAGGTCTGTACGTCAACTTACGAACAGATCTTCTAGCTTTCTAGACTCAAGGTCTGTATGACCAATTGCTAACAGATATATATATGGTCTAGCTTCCTAGACTCAAGGTCTGTACGTTAACTTACGAACAGATGTTCTAGCCTGCTAGACTCAAGGTCTATACATCCAATTACTAACGGATGTTCTAGCCTGATAGACTCCAAGTACAATCAGATGACATTGGCTGATATAGATGGACGTAACTAGCTAACCAAAGCTATCTGCCCCACTCTGACATTTCCTCGCCACATCCCTCCAAGATAAGATGCCATCTGAGGTCAAGGAGTCTGAAATCCCGCCCCACACCCCCGCTGGACCGCCGCTCCCAATTCTATTTTACGGTCACGTTAGCAGGAGGCCGGTTGTAACAGCGGGGATCGCTTTTATAGAGGGGTAGCATTGGGGTCAAAATTGAATTCTAAAATTGATTCTTGAGCACCAATGGAAGGTTCAAGATAGGGACAAGATCTTAAAACATCTTTTAATGGAATAATATTACGCTGACACACAATTGAAGGCCTTATACCAAAGGAAAAACCAAGGCAGATATTCCCCACCGATAAATTGTCCCTAAGGAATGCTACTTGAGTCATATTCAAGAAAGCAAACATATACAGAATATTGTAGAACGACATTTTAAAATTATCCCGCATGTGTTTCTTTTGAACGAAAAATCAAAATTTATTTTAAAGAGAAATAACGATTATTTTAACCTTAGGGATGAGGTATGAAAGGATGAATTGTGGAGAGTAATGATAAACGGAAAAATAAAAGTGTCCAGGGATGGGAATGGAACCCACAATGTTCCGCTTACCTGGCAGATGCCATTTACACTAGGCTACCACCCTGGACATATTTTTTAAGGAGATAATTTCAAAAGGATAATTTTAAAATGCCGTTCTACAATCATAAGCCACATTATATTGTATTATAATATACACAATATATTTTAAAATGCATATATGTTCGGTATGGAGTACCTTTTCCTTTAAAAAATACATATTAATACAATTAGCTCTTACATTTTTCTGTAGCAACAACGGCGAATTCGAACAAAAGCAAACCAAGGCTTTCTAATAATACTCTAATATTCCAAAATTGATTTTATGGCATAGTCGCCTATCTGAATAGGGCAAAGAAGGAGTGTGGATAAGATCTATAAATGTTTTTAAAGGGAGATGTATCCCTTATCGTGTATTTTAACCTTCTCCAACAAAATTCTATTTGAAACACGTATAGTTAAAGACAAAGTTTTTGGAAACTGCGTCAAATTCTGTTATTTCATTTAAACGAAAAAAGTAAAGCTTTCGGAGACTCTCCTTATCTACATCATGACAAGATAGGTGAAATTGAAACGTAGGTAGGGAAACAACCCCTTTTTGTGCGTAAGCTTATATACCAAGTGGAAATTTCTGTAGATGTGATAAGTCCACAGTGAAGTTTGTCAAAATCCGCTCTGAACTGACGACGGCCTTCAGCCCGAAATCATCATTTCCAGGTGGACGTTTTGAATCTACAAAAAAGGATGTTTTAGCTTCATCACCGATTTTTGTCTACGAGATTGCAAATACGGTTAATAGATGGGGCAAAGTTATTGCGCCTATTTTCGACGGGAAAGTTTTCATTAAATACGAGAATTGTTAATTGATATTCCAAGGGAATTCTTTGAATTAAAAAAACTTTACAAAATTTTTCAATAAAAAGGCATCTCTTGATAATTAAAAGTTGTTGATGGCTTGCATCCTCTGTCGGGGTAAATATCAGTTGAATTTTTAATTATATCAGAATATATTGACCAAATACACTTCTTTGATTAATCAAGAAAAACCAATCAATGTACACGCTTCGGACTGTTGGCCTTCATCAGCGTATTGCAGGTTGTACCTTAACGACCAAAAAATCTGATCCTAGAGGCTTCCTGCAAAATCAAGCCATATGTATTTAAACCATCAGTTCGTAAAAACACCAAACATTATATACTATTAGGAAAAGAAAAAAGACATCTCCTTATTGTGCAACTGAAAGTTGCTTGCTCCATCTATCGGAATAAATATCAACTATTCGTTAATTTGTAATTATTCCAGAATTGGCCAAATACCCATTCTTGATTAAATGACGTAAGCCATCAGCAATTTTCAGTTGCACGATAAGGAGATGTCTTTTTTTTTCTTAATTTATGATCCCAGTACAATATCACATTTGTACTATTTTGTCACATTGTATACTATGCTATCATTCACACAGAATGTGTTTTGCAAAGCATCCCTATGGATCGCGCTGGATGCGGCCCGCGGGGAGAACAAAGCATGTGGAATGGCCGCGGTGGTTGGCGGAAGTGAGGGTCATTATGCTCGGCCGGTCAGAATGGAGGCCGGAAACGCGTTTCACAACAAGTGGGGCAAATGAAATGTGGGCGCGTAACCCTGCGGGTGTTGTGTTTATACTGGAATCTCTCTGGTCTTCATCACATCTTCGGCCGAGTTCGGGTTCTTCATGACTCTGGAACTTATCTGTGAGGATGCTCTGATTGTTTGAACATTTCATCATTGAGAGAGCTTTCTCGATAGAACATAATTGTATTTTTCCCTATCTTTAATGTTTTTATTATTATTCTCTTTATCAAAGTGCCGGTACTGTAACTTAGAATAGTTTTTCTCTCTACCATTGACTTGTGTGGTCAATAAAATGTTTTCAATCAACCCACCCGGAGTCAACATTTCTGGATTCTATATTTGATGTATGGACGTTTGTTTGAATCAACCACAACTCCCAAGTTGACCAAAACCACAACTCCCAAGTTGACCAAAACCACAACTCCCAAGTTGACCAAAACCACAACTCCCAAGTTGACCAAAGCCACAACTCCCAAGTTGACCAAAACCACAGTTTCCAAGTTGACCAAAACCACAACTCCCAAGTTGACCAACCAAACCACAACTCCCAAGTTGACCAAAACCACAGCTCCCAAGTTGACCAAAACCACAACTCCCAAGTTGACCAAAACCATAACTCCCAAGTTGACCAAAACCACAACTCCCAAGTTGACCAAAACCACAGCTCCCAAGTTAACCAAAACCACAGCTCCCAAGTTAACCAAAACCACAACCCCCAAGTTAACCAAAACCACAGCTCCCAAGTTGACCAAAACCACAGCTCCCAAGTTGGCCAAAACCACAACTTCCAAATTGACCAAAACCACAGCTCCCAAGTTGACCAAAACCACAGCTCCCAAGTTGACCAAAACCACAGCTCCCAAGTTGACCAAAACCACAGCTCCCAAGTTGGCCAAAACCACAGCTCCCAAGTTGACCAAAACCACAACTCCCAAGTTGACCAAAACCACAACTCACAAGTTGACCAACCCCAACTCCCAAGTTGACCAAGACACAGCACCTAAGCCGCCACGCTCTGATTACTTCAGATCCAGGAGAATCCAGGGTGACCGGGCTTTTTGTAGCGTCCATTCTCTCTGCGCCACAGACTTCCTACGTTTGAAGCCAACCATCGCCTTAGCGGCCTCCTCAGACATCAGCAGATCAATCCATAGCTCTCATAAAACACCAGTTCCAGCTAACTATTCACTTGGCAACAAGTGACTGGACCATCTTCAATCAACAATGTCAAAGACCATCCTCAAATAATCCGTACCCATCAATAATCAATAATAACAATTTTTAAATCATCATCAATCTAGTGCCATTTATCGTTGAAAATATTATATATATATTTCTTTATATTATATGATGCATTAGCGCGCCATCTGTTATGAAAAATCGTAACTATTTTAGACGCATATGATTCTTTTTAAAATAAAACAATTTCTACTGCCCTTACTGCAATGGAAAAATTAATGGGAAGAACTTGTTTTAATGAGCCAGGCTCTCCCATTAACTTTTCCATTGCTATAAGGACAGTAGAAATTGTTTTATTTTTTAAAGAATCTTACGCGTCTCTAATAGTTATGAATTTTCATATATTTCTTTGACAAAATTAATAAGGAATCTCGAATTATTATATTAAGAACAAATATCAACGGTTACTCTTAGAATCTCTCATTTCTAATGATTATAACAGCTTAAACAGGTAGATTTACCATTACAATACCTTAGATATCTCAGAAGAAATCAATAGATCAATTTTATAGATTCCGGATGCCCTAAAAATGTAAATAAACATATATCATAACATTGTTTAAATTACATATCAATTTAAAATTTCAGTTGTAAATATCCACGCTGCGCGTGTATGTTTTTGTAAATATTTCTTGTAAGATATAGTCGATGCCTCCCAAAGAGCGTCGCACGCGGTAAAAAAGAACAGATAGCCCTCAAAATGTGGACAGACCTCTACATCCAAGATTACTCCACCAGAAATCTACGAAGATTTGCTGCTACCCCGAAACTACTCCTCCAAATGCTTCGAAACATCAAGCATGGATCTACCTCCACAACAATCTTGACCGGCCATGGTTACATTCAGGCAGACCTTGCAACGGTATCGAAAGAAGACCCAATTTGCCCCCACTGCCAAGATGAAGACCAAACCGTAGACCACCTCCTCTTCACTTGCCCAACCTTCCAATACCAAAGATTCCAGACAGCCACTCTCCTAGGTATCACCAACATATGTCCAGCATCCCTAAGAAAATCTCCCAAGAAAGAAATCTGCCTGGCGACACCTCATTAATTGGACTTCCACTGGCATTGTATATAAATCCAAGAAGACTTAGTTCAGAAGGACATCCCGGGTAGTTGGCGACTTCTGTACGCTCCAGGAACCTGGGTTGCTTAAATAAATAATATAGTCGATGTTTTATTAAGCCCGTTGAAGAGCGATTATCGCTTGAAAGCTACCGTTTTGAAATAAAAAGAAACTGTGAAAAAATATTTTGTAATTTTAAAAAGGAATCTAGTATTAGGTTTCTTTTTAAGGCAAACCTAGTCCTCTTATCGATTTTGCCAAAGGATAAAAAGAGTAACCTTTATTAAATGAATTTCTACAGTGCCATAAGCAAATGTTCGTAGCTTTCTTAAAGCACTATAGGTACTTCTTCGGCGCGGAACTGAGGAGTGTACAAGAAGACCTTGTCTGGAGGAGAACTCTCTCAAGTTGGGGAAGCCTTCCTTGCTGAAGACATTTGTATATATATTCCCCTACACTTTATATGCCCTTTTACTCTTTTATTTTTCTCCTTTGTAAAATTTGATTAAAATAATCAATAAAATTGTTTAAATTGTCAAAAAAAAATTGTCTTAAAGCACCCGTTTACTGTAATTCCATAGTAAGTATAAAACATATATAAGAAATTCAGTCTAATACAATAGTAGAGCAGTCTGGAGTTTAAACTGACGAAATTTCTGGGAGGATTCACCACTGATAAGCCATGTTCTCCTTCATTCAATATTTATTCATTGCATTCCTTCAAATTACAATTATTTTATCGTTCTTTATATTGTATAGTGGTTGGTATTTTAATATGTAAAAATACCTTTGTGTTTTAAAAAAAAAAACTACATACTTTTAGCTCTTTAATTATTAAAAAAACTGTATTTATTTTTTAAATTCAAAATTTCTGGTATCGGGTGTGTAGTTTATAGATAATGCCCCACAAATATCGGAGAGATTTTTGGCCCAAACTACAATAGCTATCTTTTTTTGCAAGAAATTTATCGCTTAATATCAACATTGATGTTTTTAAAATGTACTTCATCAAATAAAAAACCCTAAATTAAAAAAATTCCTGAAAATTGCAACAATGCCAATAAATGCTTTCTTAAACATACACGTATGTTAACGAATTCAGCACACAATTGTGAACATCGCAAAATATATATGTTAAATTTTAATTTAAC